AAGGCGATTGAAAATTGAAATTGTTTGGACCAGAACTTTGAAGTTTTAGAGAGGATTTTGCACTTGCAAATTTTTAAATTAATATAATCAACAATTAACACTAACTTTGATATAAGCACAGCAAAATATTAATTTTAAAAATAGTTATTTATTGTAAGTGGAGTAGATCCCTCATCCAGCTTCTCTTGTGCCTCTTATGGATGACATCAAGCATATGGGTACCAACCATTTTATAATAATTTAAACGGACATCACAATAGATTAATAAGAAACATGGCCATAGCTGACATACCCCACAACATGAGGAGGAAACGAAAAAGGCATTGGATGATACAACCTAAGTAATTGAAACAAATCCGGGAAGTGATGCTGCTGAGTACTTTCCTTCTCCATGTCTGACATTTCATTTATAAATTGTTTTTCTAGCACATTTCCTGATTTTTAACCAAATTGGACAGGCGCAAATACATTTTCTATAGCAAAAAAAAACTATCTTGATAAACAAGAAACTTTTAAAAAGAAACCAACCGAACTAACAACTTAAATACAGCCATACTTATATACAATATTTACAAGCATTCATTCATAAGAACTCCGAGCTAACCATTTCCACCCGCTTTTGGAGGAAAAAAGATAACTCTAGGAGATCACATCTCTTTCTCAGTCGCGTTACTGGTACTAATTATAAATTAATTAATTAATTTAAGGTGTATATATTTAGAATGAAATATATGAATGAGCGTTGAGTAACTTCAGAAGATCGAATTAAAAAAAAAATTATTGTTTGTTTATCTTCGGCGAGGTATTAAAAGAAATGAAAGGAGACTTTTCTTTTCTCCTCGAAAATATTTGAATGTGTAATCAAAATGTGGTATGTTTTATATCAATCATCCTAACAGAGGTTTCAGCCTGTTGAGAAAATATAGGTAAAAGTGCAATAGATTAGATTTTCGAAATAAGTTACAATTTAAATAATTGTTTACAATAAGTATAAAAGGTCTAATGGTGGTGATTGAACTTTGGTCGTTGATTGGATATCCTTATTTTCCTTACCTACTATTCATACAGCCATTATTATTATAGGAATATTTTGCTTACATCTTCCCGTTGAGAAAAACCTGGACGCCTCATGTTCCGTCCCGATGGATATTACGTTGCACACCTGACAAAAAGCCCGAACCCGTCGGGACTTCTTGCGGCAGATAAAGGAAGCAAGAGGACTCGGACTTTTTGCCTCAGCCGCTTTCTGTAAGCATTGAGTCGGGGCTCCAAGCGATCGATTCATCGAGAGAACTGTGAAATCCTTTATGGGTTGCCTCAGTGGTTCAAGAATTTAGAGCTTTGTCGCAGGATTTTTGTGAAAAGAAAAATAAGTAAATATTTAGGGGTGCCCAGAAGGGGGTTTCATGTCGCAAATTGTGCCATCAAAAATCAGGGGGTACATTTTTACGGGGTTGTGAATTTTTGAAGAGGTTGTCTTATAATTATTGAGGGTAACCAAGATTGGTCTTGGTTCCCGACCTTTACCAATTCTAAAACAGTCATTAATGGTATATATTAGTGGTTCGAAATTACTCTCTGGCACACATTTTGTAGAGACTTCCTCGTTTTCCGTATAGGGCTGATTAAAAATTAAAAAGTTGTTTTTTCTTCCTTCTCTATTTAAGAACTTCATCTCATTTTCTAATGAACTAAGTTTTTTATGTTGTTCCAAATGTTTTTACCTTAAATTAGAAATTTCAGCCATTAAAGAGTGTTCGATCGCGGTAATTTGGTGTGAGCCAAATATTAACCAATGATCTGTAAGTGAATTTTGTACGCTGGTGATTGTGAAAATTGGTGTAGACTGTATGAGGTTGGATCACTGAAATTTGATACTTGATTAAATTAAACAAAAATTGAGAAAATGATTATATTGCATATAATCAGGCGAGGGCTGGCGAGATATATCTTGCTGATACTAAGAAATAAGGGGATTGGCAATTTACTGCGAAATACTTTTCCTTAAGTTCTTCGTATCGCCTTGAATTCTCGACGTATCTCGCTCAAAATTTGGTTGAGAATTCTATAATGCCAACTGCAGTAATATATCAAAAATCACTTTAATTGGCACAGTACAACTTTTCAAACACAAGATAAGCGCAGAGCTCCTCTAACACAGTAAACGATTAAAGCCAGACTCTACGATAACTAGTACAAGGCTTTAAATCCTTCTAAGCAGCTTATCTCGTTTGAGAAAGTAAAAGAAAGAAGATAATAAAAGTATATGGGAGGTATGGTTTAAAATATTATAAACATTTGCATAATATTGTAATGAAAGTATATATAATATTATGTACTCTTATCCGAAGTAGGTAGGGAGATTTTAAATAAAGATATAGTGTATTATATTACATTGAACCTTTAATGGAGTAATAAGAACTGGGTCATATTTGGTTGTTATGATGAAGTCTTTTATCGAAGGACAATGTCGTAAAGAGCGGTGAGAACATTGCATTATACGGCCATTTTATTACAGCATCGGTGGGCGATCTTGTTAGCACTGGCTTCCCGCTGCCTTCTGTATTTCATTGCCGTGCGGCTGTAAAGTCTATTTTCCACCGGAATGGTATATATCATCCATTCAATAGGCCTTATTCATACCTGAGTTCAGAAAAAGTTTTGGAAACTCACCACCAGTTTATGCTAAATAATTTTTTTTGTATCCAAGCGTCAATATCAAGTTCTTATCTATATAAATAGTATTTTGATCTTTTCATTATTTATAATATCTTTTCAGTAAATGAATAATAATACTGGAGTAAATGCATATGAAACTAATTTTGTTCTTATTTTCTTTTAATTTTAAATATTTCACATGTAATATGAAAAATTAATAATATATTTTTTTATGATTGTGAAATCTGATATGTGCCAAAACAATACCAAGCAGCACTCCTTCATGGAAGCAAGAATCATTCATACTAAGGGCGAAGGCTTGGCTGTGAACAAAGGGAACCAGTTATACTACAACAGTTTCCAATCCAGAATCACGTCACGCAAGCAAGGCAGAGCTGCAACTCCTCCATACATATAAAATGAAAGACCACACTATGAGCTAAAATCAATAGCACTAGAAACTTTAGCTCAAAAGTACCCTCCTCAGGATTGGCTTCACATTTTTACCGACGGATCAGCCGTCAAAAATGCTGGGACAGGGGTTTACTCGAGAGTGTTTCAGTTCAGCGCTGCGATGGGTGAGGATGGTACCAATTTCGACGGTTAGATAACAGCGAGATAGGGCTGTTCTCTACATCGACTCTCCAGCAGCCATCCTCGCTGCAACTAACGTGGATGGATTTCTGTCGAGTGCTATCTTGGATTGCGAATCGCTTCTCAATGACTCAACATTCTAAGACACCGACGCGTTAGTAGAGGGAATTTCGAGCCATTGCGGGAATCCAGGAAATGAGGAATCATATAGTCTCGCAAGAGAGGAACAGAGTTGCCTCAACCAGTCCATTCAAAATCTTCCGATTCAATTCGGCTAACGGTGAGGATGGTAGTGACTACCCCGAAGAGTCATTTTATTAAAGAATTCAACAAGTTTCCGAATCTTCTTTTATTAGTCATATATTATAACTCATCTTCATTTTTTTTTTGTTATGTGTGCATACCGTTGGCATTTAATCAGTAAATGGGTGAATGTTCTAGGAGCACCATACTCGACACAAGTATTCTTCCCTCCATGACCATCTGCACCTAATGCTTCTCTTTGAGCTGTATTATTTCTTCTGGAGTAGTTTCGAAGGGGAACTCCTCCAGACCTCATTCAATTGGGTCACCAGCTAGGATTTGAATTTCCTTACCCAATCTTCCTAGAGACACAGATTAAGATTTTTATTGAGCTGTTGTTGCGAATTCGAGCAGTCCGTGAAGCGATATCTGCTTTTCCGTTCCCGTTTATTTCATAATGGGATGGGGTCCAAATGAAAGCTACATTACAGCATTTTTCTTAAATTTTCCAGACAATGTTCAAAATTTCAGATATTTCTGAGTGTTTTGGTCTTTGGTTATGAAGAGCCAGTAAGTAGAACACAGTATAATATGTAATACAATATAAACCCAGTAAAATACATCGTATAAATAAATATTAAAATTGATTATCCATAATGATTCCGTTAAAAATCATTTTTCATGTCTCCAACTATTTCTTGAATTTCTGCATAGATTCTATTGCAGATTCTTTATCGCCAACTTGGACATATTGGCCAATTCCTAGTTCGAAGTAATTCATCAGGAAGCCTCTACTCAACAATGAATACCTCAGTAGTAGGCAAAGAGACCATGTAGAAGGCCAAAAACCAGATCGAATTAACCAACATGCCAAATTGCTGCATGCAGATCACTAGAAAGAATTAGCCTGAGTTAGCCAAAGGCGGTTAAGGCAGCATGATGATCTAGAAGGATTTTTCTTTCTGTAAAGTCCACAGAAAAGAAAAAGTTGTTCTAAAAAAACAAACACGTTTTATTATAAATTTTATTTATATATCCCATGAAGGATAATTTTATAAACCCAGTATAAGTTAGATTTTTTTATATATTCATTTACAGTTTTATTTCTTATGTCCGTCAAAGCAGAACATGTGTCTAGGTGGTCTGTATCTAATTTTGACGTAGACTAATTAAATTGTGACGTAGATATACTATTCGAAATTTAAATGGTTGTTAGAATTCACCACTGGAGAATTAGGTCGAAACTTATTCAGAAGGATATTGTTATTTCAGATCTTGTAATTTTAATTTTTAACGAAGTTCAGTGAAGTTCAGGATTCGTTAAAGTTAGTCCTGTTTTCCTTAGGATATACTTTAAATTGAAACCTTAAAGTGAATGAGTCAAAGCATTTAAATTCATTAGTACAATGAATAAATTCAAAAACATTAATGGTAATATTTAACTTTTTTTCATATAACGAATATGGATATAGGTCATATAATATTCTTCGAGCGACAGGACAAAAATGCTGAGAAGGCCCCAGCCAAGACCTGATCCGACTTGTTAGCCAAGAAAGGGGGGACTGAGTACTAATTGGGAGCAAATCCAATTGACAGCAAGATTGGAGGAGCTGGCTAATGTGATTGTTTGTGATTGCACTCTATTCACTCCTAACAACGACTCCTTAGCTCTCATCGCCGCGAGCAGCTTCCTGGGATGTGGACTTTTTGCAGGCGTCGCTCCAGGGCCAACTGGATACCCTATTCCTTCCTCACTTTTGACAACTTTTGTTTAAACAATAAAGGGAATTCTCAGTGATGTTTAAAAGAATGGATAAGTAAATCATAAAAATGGATACCTTTCGCACGTTTGCGGCATTTTCTGGATACATATGATAATCATGAAAAATCTACGAAAAAAACGGCGATGAACCCGCACGTTATAGTATAAAATGGTTTTAGATTCAACATATATGTAATATTTTTTTAAACAAACAAATAATACATAGATTAAGGGTACCAGTGATGGACATAGCTAAGGGTTTTTTGTCTTATGCTGCTGTAATTATTATAGTTATAACGTCCTCCGTGGGACATTTAGAACCACTAGGGTCTACTTTTATATGCAACATTTTAAAATTGAAAATAAATGTTCAGTTATGCAGGTATAGTCTCCATTTAAAAAAACAACACCTTTTTGCACTAGTGATGGACACCCCGAACTTCAATTGTTCTTTTAATAGACAGAGGGTCGGTATCAGTAAAGGACATACCATGGACAAATTCTAAAATTATTTATTGAACTATAAATGTTTGTTTATATTTATAGTTAAATAAATATAGGGAGCGGTGTTGCTCAGTGGGTGCACACTGACTTGCAGAGCTCAAGATCCTGGGTTCGAATCCGACTCATGACTAATCAATTTTTCAATAGCCGTGGACCGATCCTGGGATCGGAAGACCCTCTTGGGGCACACCCAGCCTCTATAAAGTGGGTACCCTTAATTTAAAAAATAATTAAGGGGGAAAACCTGGCGGTTGAGCGTGATATCCGCTCCATCACCTTCCTGCATAACCGTTGGCCTTAAAACAGTACTTCCTCATATTGTACTGCAACCAAGACCCTTCATGAGTTGTATTGGTACAGGTTTTTAACTATAAATATAAGAAAACTACAAACTGATCGCAACAACACTAAAAAAAAAAAAACCTGTACCACTACAACCCATGAAGGGTCTGGGGTTCAGTACTATTTAGGGAAAGCACTAGATTGACGAACAACATTCTCTACTGACAACTGTTACCAAAAGAAAATTTTAAAATGCCTATTATTGTTGTTTCTATAGTGCTCTTGTGGGAGTGGGGTGGTCCCAGTAAAAAGGTCCCAGGTTCGAACCCCGGTTCCTGGCAGAAAATTTATTTATCTGATTCATTGGCCGTGGGGCGACTCTGGGTCAGGAGACCCTTCTGGGGCATACCCAGCCTCTATAAAGTGGGTACCCTTAATTAATTATTTAAGGAAAAACCAGGTGGTTGAGCGTGATATCGGTCAAATAGTGGTAAAGGTTTTTTTTTTTTTTTTTTTTTTTTTTAGTGCTCTTGCGATCAGTTTGTTGTTTTCTTATATTTATAGTTAAAAACCTGTACCAATACAACCCATGAAGGGTCTTGGGTGCAGTACAATATGAGGAAGCACTGTTTCAAGGTCAACGGTTGTGCAAGGAGGTGACAGTTGTCAGTAGAGAATGTTGTTCGTCAATCTAGAAAAAAACTGGAACCTAATACCTTACCCTAATGTGTCTAGCGTCTGTGGAATCCAATGAATAAATTCCATTTTATTCTAAGCAGTATGAACGCCAAGACATTATTGTTCCTTCATGTTTCTCGTTGTTCTTTGCAGGCGTGGGCTACGCGATCTGCCTGCTGGACGTCTACATGGGGATGTACTACAACACCATCATAGGCTGGGCCGTCTACTACCTCGTGGCCAGCTTCAGGTCGGAGCTTCCGTGGACAAGCTGCCACAACAGCTGGAACACACCTAACTGCACGCCTATCATGGAGCTAGCGGTCAACAACTACAGTAAGAGTCCGGCCACGGAGTTCTTCGAGTGAGTAGCACTTGTTTGTAAACTACAAAACGTAAAGTAGATAGTTTTGGGAAGTAGTTTGAAAAGCAATCAGAAATATTTAAAACGTCCATGTTTTGTGCATGACTCCCATATGACTGAAAAAATAAAAATAATTTTCTATATTTTCTCCTATTATGTTCTTTGATTACTAAAATCTTTGAGAACTTCTCTACAAACGACTTCTTGACATGCTGACTAATGAAAACATAATACCTGAACATCAATTTGGATTCCGTCCACACCATTCATCAATTACACCGAGTGATGCACTACATTGCGTTAGCATTAGAGCACAAATTATATCCAACAGGAGTATTTCTGTATCTTGCTCAAGCGTTCGATATCTGTCATCAGGAACTTCTTTTCGAACTTAAGACGAAACTCCCTCCAACTTACTATCATATTCTTCTATATTTTCTTTGTAAAAGATTTTTCTCTGTTATATAAGGTACAGAATTTTCTACTATTAAATCTGTCTTAGCAAGAGTGCTCCAGGGATCAGTATTCGCTCCTCTCTTGTATATAATTTACACATATGATATTCCAGAAAGAGACGATACTGTGAACTTCGCCATCAAAATTCAATAGACGCTTCACAGACTCTACGAAATCACCTAAAAAAATTCCACTAGTATAAACTCTGGAAAATTCTACTCAACCAAGACAAATTACTACAAATCACTTTTACCCTTAGACGTGAAACTTGCCCTGCTATTTACCTTGACAATGTCTAAATTCCTCAGACAGACAAAGTTCAATGTCTTGTACTGACATTTGATAGAAGGATGACATGGGGCCCACTTATCAAGAACAAAACAAAAACTCTAAACCTAAGACTATAAATATTACACTCACTTCTTTCAAAGCTTTCGAAATTAAAACTCAGACCTACCTAAGCCTATTTGGACCTACGCTTCATTGACATACGGGACAACCAAAAAGACTCACATACGTAAAGTACAGACTTTTAAATCAAAAACTTTCATGAATATCAACAAGGCTCCCTGTCACGTCAGGAACATTACTTTAAGTAAAGACCTACAGATGCGAACAGATAACGACCATACTACAAAATATTTCACAATAACTTATATGGACCTACCAACTCACTGATTTAAGACATGGCCATAACTAGCATGCCCGATAGCGTCCGTAGGAGGCTCAAAAGAAGCCGAATGAGGGATCTCCTCCACTAACTATAAATATTAAAATACCTGTCTTTAGGACGCCGCTGGGCACTCCTCTCCCTCACGTCTATTCCAAGACCTATTCCAATCTTCTGCATCTCGAGATCAGACTCGCTGATTGTACTTCTGAAAGCTTTGAGTGGAAAATTTAAGTTAATAAAAATATAGTTAGTAAAAAATCTTTATTTTGATATTTTTTTTATTATTTTTTTGTTTTAGTTATATAATATTCTGTCTCATGGACAATGATTATAGTGATAAATGAACACATACACACCATATATACAGAAAATATAAAGTTAACAAAAGTAAAATAATAACTAAATAATAATAAAAAACTATAGAAAATAAAATAACCTAAAGATAAGTATATCTTACCAGTATATAAGTATAGCCATTGCCAGAACTCCAAGATATATACTATAAAAGATCTCTGGGCCACTGCCGCTTCAACCTTCGAGGAGGGTTGTAGGGATGAGTGAAACTAGATAGGGATTGTGCTAGGAGATTCGGGTGATTAATAAGTTTCTGATGGAATTTGGAAAATTTTTGAGGGATAAGGTCAAGGACAAATGGGATATTAAGTTCATGAATTTTGCTATAAAGGTTTTTTTTAAATATTATTAACTTCATTTTTATGTAATGTTGTCACATGTTTTTTTGTAATCACATTTTTGTGCATTTTACTCAACAAGTACAATTGATTCATTTTCTTAATTTATTTTTTTTATGTCTATAAAAATGCGGATTCGCGCTTGTCAACCTATTGACAATAAATGTGCTGGCGATGCAAGAAATACTAACATGACGGCCATGGAGAAAGAAAGTATTCAACAGTACCTCTTCCCTAATTTAAATTGAAATCATTCATAAATGAAATAATAAATGTTACATTTAGAATTAAATAATTCAGAGTACAGTCTCCGCAACATATGTAACGTTAAGACCATAACATAAATTACGGATATTATATGACTGAGAAATACTTTAAAGAATTAATAATAAGACTAAATAATCTATAAAGATAAATTAATATATATCATGTTTGTTGTAATTTTATATAAAACTATAAGTGAAACAGTAATTTCTGATAGTAATTATTATCGCTTCTGAATAAAAAAAAATTGTCCTGAATATTACTTCCATCACATCAACGATTGACGATATACTATAATAATTAATATCGCTATTGTTAGTTCCAAAGGTCGTGTGTTACAATTTTATATTCTTATTCTATTGGAGCTAAAGGAGTTGAAATTACTAAACTATGGAAAATACTAGAGGGAAATAAAATATAAAATTATACTAATAAATCATAAAGAAATTATTTATTAACCGAACATAAAAGCTGAACATTAAATTGAATTTGCAATATGCAAATTGTTTTTCAATGATTTTTTTTTTATTAATATTTGTTTTGGCAACTTCACAGTGTCCCGTCACATCCAGGATATAAATCAGATCAGCAGGTCTCTTAGCCAACGCCTACGTAATCGTTGTGGTGGGCTGTTTGGATTCCTGGTACGTTTAAGGATTTCTGTCAGAGGACTCATGTTGTGCGTCAGTCTTTGATGAAAGTTATTTGAGTTTTCTTTTGCAGTGTCTAAAATTGTTGGGACGTTTAAGTCTTTATGTAATATATCACTCGCGACATAAAACGGTGCGTCAACTATCCTTCGCAACACATTTGACTATAAGGATAGTATTTTTTTAATGTTGGAAGTTTTAGCAGAAATCGCAGTGTGGATCTATACCGTGAATCCAAATTGGTTTAAGTAAAAAAATTATAAAGGGTTAGTTTGTTAGTTAAAGATAATTTTGAACGTCTGTCAAGTAACCTGGATAAAATACTCTATTGTCTGCTCAATTCGATTTTGTCTAACGTGATTCCTCCAAGTTAGTCTTTGGTCTAGGTGAAAACCTAAGTATCTGATAACATCTGATGCTGGGATTTCAATATTTCTAAAGTCTATTTCGGAGGATGGTGTATGATTAAGGGTGAATGCTACGTACAGAAGATTTTTTTCATTCATTTAAATTTTCCACCTTATGGCATAAACAGCAATATCGCTCAAATGATTCTGAAGAGTGGAGGATGCTCGAACAGGGTTTTTATCTGAGCTGAGGATTGCGGTATCGTCTGCAAAAGTAGGCAGTAAAGTGTCATTGTGTTCAGGTAGGTCTGAAATATATATATTAAATAATATTGGTCCAAGGATACTATCCTGGGGTACTTCTGCTTTAATAGATTTAATGTCAGAACTTTATGTCCCTACTTTTACTCCAAAATGTCTATCCATTAGATATGAAGCAAGAAAGAAATAACCAGTTTTTATGCTCTCTTGTAAAAAGCTCAATTTTCACATTTTGCAATAACAGTAGCGATATTTTATTTTTTAAATGGAAGAAGTGCTTCAGTAAAAGACCCATAAATGTTTAATTTGAGTAAATTTTGTAAATAAATAATTGAATAAATGTAAATAAATAATTGAATAAATGTTGAATTAACGTTTAATATTTCATTATGAAGAAGTATTATCTTACCGAACATCAGTGAGGGGAAAATCAGGTAATATTTACGTAATTGGATAAAAGATATAGTGAATAGGAATTAATAAAATAAATAAATGAACATTGAAAGACAGATTTTATTAACAATACAGTCAATATTAATATATTTTTATGATAAATTATATATTTAAGCTAGGCCCTGGTCTAATCAGTGTTCTAAGGCCAACGTACTTCCTCTTTGAGAGCTGACATTGAAGCTTGTTCACTTCTTGTGACTGACTTAAAATTTAAGCACCTTAAAGCTTACTGAAGTTTTAGCGACTCTTCCTCTGCTTAGTTTTATACTCATTGTATACTCTTATATCAATTATTTAGGAACAACCATGGTTACATATTTGAAGCTTGAGCCGAACAGCAGTTTAATGTCTTAAAAAATAAAGTGACATACAGCAAATTACATTTTTTTAAAAAAGGGAGGAATAAACCAACGCCCTGAGTTCATAATATTTTATTTAGCAACGGTTGGAGATCTCTGATACAATCTTTTGTACTCTATATTAATCGTGAAATAAAATTTCTTCGTGTTATAGGTTATTTTTAAAATATGAACGGAAAATATAAATTTAATGACGTATTGGCGATAAAACGGAAATATATCGTAAACATTTTACGTTTTATTACCTCCTGTAATATCTAATAAGCATAAGTAATCTCAAATCTGATTTGATGATTCAACATAAAATCTGATTTTCTACAAAATAAATAAAACATTACATTCTTGTTACCCAATAATTGCGAATATTTTATCGGAATTTATTATGCCTTCTTGTTATCAATAATTAAATATACCTATGTACCGGTGATCCGAGGAACCATTTTATTTGAATTTAACACCTTACAAATCCAACACTGTCATCACCACCTATGCCGATGACACGTGTATCCTATCAGTTAATAACGATCCATCTATTGCATCCCAAACTCTTCAATCACACATCACAAGCCTTGAAAAATGGTGTCAAAACTGGAGTTTATTAAAATTAAAATAAATTCCAATAAATCCCATCGAATAAACTTCACTCTTCGTCGTAAACCTATGACTTCCTGTCCTACAGTATCCTTCAATAATAGCCCTCTTATCCCTGTCGAACAAATCCGATACTTAGGACTTCACCTTAACAAACGACTCACTTGGAACCCCCATACCAGACTGAAACGACTAGAAACCGCCCGACGTTTTCGACTACTGCAGCACTTACTAGACAAACAATCTAATCTTTC